AGTCATGTTCATCCATATTTTCTAACCACTTCTTCCAATTCAGGGCCGCTGGGGGGAAAGAGCCTGTCTGGGCAAGCAACAGGCGCAAGCCAGGGTACACCCTGGACGGGATGCTAGGGCATACACACAGACACAAACACAGATGCATATACTCACACCTTGGACCGGTTTTCCCAGAAACCAATTAACCTACCGCTTCTATGTGTCTTTGGACTGTGGGAGGCAACTGGAAAACCCAGACTAAAGTATGGGTTAAAAAGTGAAAAAAAGAGTCTATCATACAGTTATAATTGGCTTTTAATCCATCTCTTGTCCCCTTAAACTAACGTACTATACAAACTGCAAACAAGTAGCACCCGAGCCCTGGAATTAAACTTGGGGCCCCAGGGCTGCAAGACAATAATGCTATCCACTTTGCTACCATGATACCTTATAAGGACACTCGACAAGCACAAACTTTGCACAAGACAATAAATGTCACAGACAAGAATTGCAAGATATTCTGCAGCTGAGCTTTTAGTGTGAAAGTGGAAATCATTAATGTTTCAAAGCCATTTTTAACTTCCACCCCGCTAGTCAGATGGCTTTAGTGAAATTTCTAAGCATATGTGATATTTGGCATATGTGAATGTTTGTAATTAACACATTTATTTCAGGAAAGACTTTTAATATATATTTTTCATATAATTCAGTGATTTAATAGAAGTGTAGTAAACACAATGTAATAAACACAAATTTGCATGGAAAAGTGGAGTGTTTTCCATTATTGTTAACAGACGAAAATGAAAATCCCACCAAAAGGCTAATATTACTTTTCCCACTGATTTGTTCTTCAGCAAGAATTCATTTCTGGTGGATTCAAATTATGTAATTAAAAAATGAACTAATTAAAATATCCGTTGTCTTCTTTTCTGCAGTTCTGAATTTGAACAACAAAAATGGGCGATGAATGAGGCATTAGAACATTAGCTAAAGGGAGAAAATAAAAAATTGTCTTTTGTTACAGAGAGAATGAAAATTATAGGCACACACATTTTTGCATGAAAAATTAGACTATTTTATTCCCCAGTGGAGCCTTAAAGATGCATCGTTTCTCTCTTAATTAAGTGTATAACAGGCACACTAGGTACTCTTTCTGTTTTATATTTTAAGTAGCCATTTAAAAGCAAACCTGTCTGTCTTAATCCCTCTGCAGCCCAAGTTATACTGCTAGTCTCTATGTAATTGAAACAAACTTGTAATTCCAAAGGCCTGTTTTATTGTTATGTAGGTGTATGGCCCTTCTACATACTGTAATTCATATGAAAGAAAGCTAGGATTTTGTCTATATAAAAAAAGTTTACTGTATACAATCCTGTATGCAGTTTTTAGTGGAGCTAGGACTTTTTCAGCATAGTATTTGCAGTATCTTGGATGAATGACATTAAAATTCCCTGTTTAGGGACTCTTAAAAGGACTGATAGCTGCACCTCAGTGAAATTCAACTTTATTCCACTTGATATTTTCCTAGAAAAGGCAGGGATTTGTGGCTGGTATACTTTTTTACGGTCTCTTGTTAATTAATTTCATCTTCAAAATACTGTGACAACATCTAAGAGCTTCAGATTTCTCAGTGAGTGTCTGCAGTTTCCTTCCAGAGTGAGAAAAGTAAAATTGTGATATTATTAATGATATTATCATCACTTTTGAATACCTGTTAATGTAAAAGTGACGGACACTGCTATAAAAGATTCTCAAACATAAATGATCACTTTAATAGATTATTTTGAATTACTCTTCTGGAACTTTTGTGAGAGTGTGAAGACATCTTTAAATCATGAGCCCATGTAACTTATAACAACAAAATAAAAACTTACTGAACCATAACTAGGTTCAATAATCCGTTTTTATCTTAAATTGGGTCCAAATGTGCCCTATGACTACCACGTTATAAAGTATCTAAATCCAATATTGCTGTATTGTAATAGTTTCAATTACAAAAATGTAATAGCTTTTTAAACTTGTCTTTTTTTCTGTAGGTACAAGAAAGCCATGTTAAATATTGTAAACCTATAGTGCTTTCCTAAAGGTTACAGTATATTCAATTGTATTGCTAAAAAAGATCACTTGTATGCAGAGAAACTGCCTTACACTAATAAAGACTTTCAGAGAATAAGACAACTCTCTTGGGTAAAAGGGATACATAATAAACATCTTATCCGAAAAGATGAACCTCCTGGTAATATGAAAAGGTCAAGTAAAAAAAAAAATCAGTAACAACCATTAAAGCAGGTTGTAGACAAACCATCCCTGGTGTCATCGGGCAGTCCTACAGAGTCTCATGTTGCACATTTAGATCTTTATGCCCCTGGCTGGCAACAGCTTATATCTTTCAGATGGACAACATATTGCTCTTCAGCAGTCAATACGATCTTGAGGGAGACAGGGGACTGATGGGGGAAAATGTATTCCTCAAAGCTACAGTACATTACCTCCGAGCTGTCCCTCTTTCATTGGTTTGTCAGTGCAAGCAATTGGTTTTTGATTTGTCATGAGCCTTTTAGACAAGTGAAGCCTTACAGATTATACAGTACATAATGACTTTACCCTAGCAAACGCCACGCTATATTATGTTGATATATTTTTTCTTGGAAACGTTATGCACGTTTTAAGTGGGTATAAACATGTCATATTAACCATACTGGCGTTACAGGAATACAGTACAGTAGGTCAGTTTGACCTACAGTAAACTAAGTTTATAAGCCTCATTGAATTTTAAATATTGTGCGTCCGCAGCAGTAATATATAATTATAGTTATATAATTTCTTGACATGAAAAGTACTATATACTGTATACTGTATGAATATTTTTTTTATTATTATTGTCATGAACGAGCAAGCGCAGGTGATTAGTCCCGCATACACACGCGGGACAGCACACCTACCGGCACTGTAAGAACACGCTCGGGCAGACTTTCACAGCGGGCGGCCAATTTAACTATTATTTAATTATTATTGTCTTATTAGTTCGATTTTAAAGTAATTTTAAATACTTCCCTCGCCCCTCATTTAGGGCTTTGTGATTAGCTGTGCGTTTGCCACTTCACAGTTTCCTTAGACAATTGTTTTTCTGTACCTTTTTGCGCTTAATTATTTCGCCACTTTCTCTGTTTGCCACTACTGTTATACAACCCCGAGTATTGGGTTTATTTTTGTGCTTTTCTTTTTCGCTTCACTTTTATTGCGGTGTTCCCCACTTCGCTGTTGCCCGAGACCTGCTTGTGAGCTCAGTCAGACGCGGCTATTTTTCACCTCGACGAGTTATTACGGTTATTTTTTAAGAAGAGACCAATTGAAGTCTCAGTGTTAAGGACGTGTGAGAAATACAGATTCAGTGGCAGATTTGTCTTTCTGAGATCTGCAAGTTGTTCATACTGAGGTCAATACCACGGATATGAGGGAGCTGACTATTGGAAGGAGCTCCCATATTCTTGTGTAGAGACAGTTACAGTACTTGTACTGTTGCATTTCCACACATTTTGAGAACTTTCATTAAATCTCCTGCAGTCTGTTGTTAACCATCTAAAGGCCAAATTGGAATTATGACATATAAAATCCAAGGGAGCTAAAATAAAGGCTCTCACCTTTTTGCACAAGTCTATTCCTACAGTATGTTTATACTTATGTATCCATGCGTACAGTGTGTGGGGGGAGAGCTGATTTAGATCTCACTGTCTAGATTTCAGAAATGTATCTTTAATTATTTTTATTATACTTTAGGACTTTTGTAGGAATGAGGATGGATGGTGGTATTTTCATATTGTATCTAACTAGAAATTGCCGTCTTGCATTACAATCTTCCTAGTTTTGTATGTAAACAAAAATGTTGTAAGAAATGTGTTTATCAAAAGAATGCAGATATGCTATAAAACATATAGTTTTATAGTAATATGAGTAACAAAATAAAATCTACATTTTTATCGTCAATCCACCCAGCACAGAGCAGCGGTTTCAACAAGACTTCTGGGAAGATTGTTCTCACACAGTCCTTTGTTAAAAAAGTGTTTTTCATTTTTGAAGCACTTTCTTGTAGTTTCTGCTGGTGTTGCACTGTTGACTCTGAAGGAGTCTGTTGGATTGTAAACATTTTGCCAAAATCCTTTTCTTGAATTAGATCTCCTCATAGTTGTCTCATCTCAATACGGAAGAGAATAATTTATTTTCAACTGTCAGTGTACTGTAGGACATTCTTGACTAGGAAATGTACTGTAGTCTCCCAGCACACACTGCAGAAGGCTGTTGAGTGGTTTCCACAAAACTGAAAAAAATACACAGTTATCAGGCCATCCTTCTCAAAACTGTAAAAACAAATGTCAACACTGGGGATGTTGTGGCCGAGAGAGGGTTGAGAGAACAGAGGAATTTTTCACTTCATATTTATTAACATATAATTAAAAGTTGTTTTACTTAAAAGTCTTGTTTGCCTGTTTTTTGGAAATACCTCCCTTGAAACAATGAGGTGTCAAGAAAATATGTTAGAGTGAGTATCTTATTTGAATAAAATTAAAATAAATCATGGATGACTACAGGCCAATGAGGGAGGCAAGGAAGTGATGACCTGCATGCAGACCTTAGAAAGGTTTATACTGGAATTGTTAGAGTTGTAAATCATTTTAACAGCATTATGTTTGTCCCTGCATTTATATTTTTCTTTAGCCCATTGCCATGTTGGTCACACTAGGAACATGTGGATGGGGATCCTAATGGTAATAGCACACAAGAGAATACAGAAGCATTACAAACAGGCTTCTTCACTCCGGCACCTTTTCTAACCATCCTTTCAGTTTTTACTTAGTGTCCATCATTGGTATTTTTTCAACCAATTAATTAATTTTGATGTGAATTTGTGAGCGATCAAGGATGAAAAATAAGTTAAGTCACAGAGCATTCCTTTAATCTTCAATGAGAGTGAGGGAAATGACAGAGGTGAAACGCACTTTGATTGTTGTTGCCAGGCAACAGTTTTCACTGCCAGCTCTCCACTGCAACAGCATGAATCATAAAAGACAAATCAATCTATACATTTCCTGCTCTCAGGTAATTGAAACTTTCATTCTCTATCGGGTGGTTGGAATATCAGTGTTAGTTAACTGAGTCCTTAACTGTAGCGTTTTATTTATAAAGCAGATAGATGAGGTCAGTAAGTACATTTGTTTATGAGGGGGAAGTATTGCTGGAAATAAAATAAATGGATGTTATTTTAAAATTGTTTATAGAATTATTTTAGGATGCTGTATTTTAGGATGATTTTTTGTCACCAATATAAAGAGATAATGCTGATGAAGGAATGTCCTATTCTGAAAGACCAAAAAACTGAAGCTTTTTAGTCTTGAACAGGGAAGAACCTGAAATTGAACAATGTTCAAAATCTTAAAGTAAATATTTATTTAGCCCGTTGCTGCATGCGACCATGCAGAACATCAAGAGCTCCCAGTGAGAGGGAGCATTTTGGGAAGCCAATGAGTTTCTTTATTTGATAGAGTGGCTTCATGGACCTTCACACATGAACACTCTGGACACAGAAAGAAAGTAAAGATAAAGGATGACTCCTGGTCTTATTAACAAAGTCAAACAAAGCAAAATATACTGTACACTTCAGAGAGATGGCTACCAGCACATCAGTTTCCTACTCCTGCTCTTAATGAGGTTTAACAAGCCTGGTATAGTGATAAAAAAGAGAGTAAACAAATACTCTTGTATAGAAAAACCAAACATGAACATTTACCGTTCCATTCAGTGAACAATAATACAGTCATTGACATATTTACACAGGTGAGGTTTTTTTCCAATGTATCTGATGCAGTGGTGGTTTTCAGTGCCACTGTGTTCTTTTTGTGGTCCACCATAGGTACACTTGTAAATTCAACTTTTACATACTGTATGAGATCAAATAAATTCCTTAATAAGGCTGAGTTGCCTTCTCTTTTTCGTTTGTACATTTTCTTATGTAACTGTATCCATGGAGTTTTCTGTTTCCTGGAATATGTTTAATGTAATACTGGCTTGTGTTTATTCTTCTACTAACTGTGATGTTCATGTCTTTTTCCCCGTTATCCAATCTCCAAATTCTGGTGGTGCAAAACATTCCTTGTTCCTTGGCTTAGTATGACGTCTTCCGAAAATAAAACCAAAACCAATGTTTGTTCCCAACTTTTAGGGTATGTAAAGATCGCCAAGTCATTTCACAGAACTCTCCAATGAATACACGATTCAAGTAAGAGAAGTTGTTTATCAGTCCACCCATTATTGCATACTGCAACTGCTCATTCCCTTAAGGTTTGCTGCAACCCAGAATCTACTGTATTTCACAGGCATCCATTGGAGGGCACACACATGAAATATTTAGAGACGCCAGTTAACTACTTGGCCTTGACAAGAGGTCTTTAGAAGATGGAAGGGAACTGGAACAAACAGCAGGACGAATTCACCCCAAGTGCAGAATCAAATCCAGAACCCAATATCTGGGAGGAAGCAGAACAAATTCTGCCACCTGTTGTTGATTTATACTGTTCTTAGGCAAAATTATCTTCATTTCACTGTTTGTTCTTTAGACTATTTATTAATGTATTATTATATTAGAATCAGATGCTCATAGAAAGATGCATTTGCTGCTAGGAATAAAAAATACTTCAGTTTTGCATAATAATATAGGTTTTGAGGATTGCCTTTTGTGTAATTACTGGTTGGTATTAACATTACATAACAGTACATATTAAGTTAATATATTCATTCTCAAAAAGAGAATTAGAAGCCTGTAGTCTACTGAAGAGAGCACTGTATTTTATATACTGTAAACCTACTATGTTAAGAATACAGTATATAGCTATGTAAAATGCTAATCAGTCTTTAAACTTTTTTCTAGATAAAAACAAAATGAACTGATTTTCTGATGCTTTGTTGTGAATTTTAGTTGCCTGTGGTTTTGCAGCTATTTTGGACACATTGATTACAAAGTTGAAAACCTCTGCCAGGTAAAGTCTATAAAGTCTAGTTTGTAAAGCTAAAGCCCTGTCTTGTTCAAGTCATTAAAACACGACTCATGGTTCTGACAAAATATTTGCCATCTCTGTGTGGTTCTGTGGGAGGGAATTTGAAGACCATACAAGAATACTGCCCCAGACCCCTTTAATCAGTGAAACAAAACAGTGTTTATAGTGTTTCTAGTTTCCCTAGATTATGATGATTAAAGTAATAATATTAATTATATATGTTTTGCTGGGGGCCATTTTGTGAGATATCTCTGTTTATTCCATTACAGGGCAATTTAGGATGGAGAACCACACATTTCATCATGTACTTTTCTGAGAGTTTGAAGGTGTAGATACTGTATGAATGAATAGCAGAATTTAATGGCAATTTTGTGGGCAGTTGAATGAAGGCTACTGTTATCCACATCTGTTTCATTAGTACCCCCTACCTTCACCTACCAAATGTCCTTCACTGATTTACATGCTTTTAACATGTAATAATCAGTATTCACAGTACTGGTGATCACTCTGTTGGATTCTTTACTTTAACGTGGCATTGGTTAAAACTAATATTTACCAAATTGTTGGCTTGGAGTGGAATATTTCTGAATTCATGAGTGTGTTATCTAACATATTTATTCTAACATCTTTTTTCTTTTGCTTTGTCACCCTGTCACCCTGCTGTGAGGGTTATTTTATCACTTAAAGCTTCACTATTCATAGTCAGAGCCCAAAATGTACAGTATACAGTAATGTGAAAGATTTTTTGTGGTTGTTGATGTTGATTTTATTTTTCAATAATCTTTTGTAACATCAAAATTATGGTTACAGAGGAGCGGATGCAATCCAACCCACTTAGCGCATCTGGATTTTAATAGCTGCTGTAATAGAGCTGAGGATCCCACCCAGCCATTTCGTAAAAGTAGCCAAAATATAATTTTCAATAATGTGTCTGAGTGACTTGTTCCAAACTCCAACAACTCTCTCTGTAAAAATGATGATCCTGTTACAGAAGAAATTAATGTTACTGTATGTCATCATATTTAGCTTGTTAGAAGATAAAAGTCCAACTTACCAGTTACAGTAAGACACATTACATTATAATGGTTTGAGACCAGACTGTCAGTGCTAAATTGATATACAGTATCTCACTTTCATAATCAGTTCATACAGTATGTATCAGTATGATTTTGTGAGGTAAAAAGTGGAACTGCTAATATCTTAAGGGAATTAATTATTGGTTTTAATGTCTTAATTGCTGGGGCAAGCAGATATTAAAAACAAATTGAAATTTTGCACACAACAAAAAACAATGACTGATTTGTGTTCCTATTATTATTTAGCAGAAGTTAAAGGGTAATTTTTGTTCTTTTTAAGGTATGCACTTTTCCATTTCTTGTGTCAGGACTGAGTTATTTTTTTTCAGAGTGAAGCTTGTAAAATGTCACAAATCCCCCTCTCCTTGCTCAGTGTGCAACAGATCTTTCTAAAGCTGGTTCTAAAAACTGAGGTGAAAATAAACTTGAAACTTCATGCATGAATTAAAACCATTGATTACTATCTGCACTATCGTTTGTCAAAAGGACATGCATTTACACATGGATTAGGGTGATTTCATTCACCATCACTATCCATTACTGAGGATTTATGAGGAAGTGTAGAAAACAAATTACTGGGGTGTAACCCTATTCAGGGCCGAAGTGCAAAAAATCACAGTGACACAATGCGTAAAAAGACAGGAAGTCTTGATGATACTTTTTTAATCAAAAGTTTTTCAATTAGAGGTTATTCACTCTAAAGATTATATAATGATTGACCTGTAATATACAGTACAAGTTTAATTACGTTGCCGTTTAATAACTTATTAAATGAGTCATTTAAAGGGATCGTTTCTTCGACAGCCTGTTCTCAAACACTTTCTTTCTAGGTGAAAGTTAGGGTTAGCGTTGCTCTGAAAAATGTTGTCCTCATTTCGTACAAGTTACTGTGTCCTGCCTACACATAGACTCACTGCAAATGCTACCCCACCAGGGAAAGTTGAAAAGGTGATCAGCATTATATCTCTTCAGCCATTAAGACTGTCACTTTCACTGTTCAAAGTACAAAAATGGGGTGAAAAATCTCAACCTATAAACGCATAATGAAACATAATGTCACACGGAGAGAAAAGACACCCCAGACCTTTAAGTGCTTATGGGAATCTAATGAATGGTGGTCGGATCTGATAATTCCCACGGTCTCTCCCTTCCATCAAGCGTGTATGCATTTTCATGGAAAGAGAGGACCAGTAGCCTTACAATAAGGCACTTTCTGCTGCTAGAATGTGTAACTCCCACTTGATTCATTGGTTCAAGCCATCTAAGACAAAAAAAGATGATTGCTGTATGGTCTCAATTGTAAGGTAGCAGAGCGATAGAGCTGATTTCATGGCAGAACCTGTTGGGTCTACAAGCATATCAGCATACATCTAGGGGTGCTGTTAATGTTCTATTCCTTCATATAAACACACGATGTTGTAGAATTGTGTGATTTAATAAAGAAAATAGTGGGATATCCTAGGCTTTAATCTTAGAATTTTTAATGGATATCAGTTAGATATTAATGCTATTCTTTACAGGATCAAAAACCATGCAGTTCAGGTTATTATGGGATAACAAATAAATAAAAATAAAGTTTATATAAAAGCCCAACATTCAACAGTTGTATAGAGTTATTAACCTTTATAAACACCCTTCTTCATTTTCTTTATATGATCACCAACAAATGTGCTGTACTTTTGAGTCCCGTATGCTCCTAGATGCCTTCTATAAAAGTAGTTTTGAAAATCATTATGAAAATATTGTGGTTTTCTATTCTGATTTAGAAAGCAAACACAAATTTGCACTCTGATTTCAGCAATTTCACTTTTCATTTACAAATGTTAATGCAGCCACTTGTGCAAATTAATATTTAATACTGCACTCAGCAGGGGGTTATTTCCAAGGGGCTACATCTAGTTACTCCTTTTTTTTAACTTCAGACAGAGAACTGCAGCGTCAGGATATGTGATTTGACAGGTGGTGGGCATCAGACTCTTGAGGTTTTCATAGCAAACTCCTCTGCAAAATAGAAACGCTGATATTAGGTATAAATTGAGACAGATTGTTTTTTGCAAAATGTATGAATCACACTATCAGATGACACATGCACCTTTCAGAGGCCATGTGTCCTTTCTTCAGGCACAGGTACGGTACCTGACTAGAGAGAGATGCAAACTACAGTACAGTATGCTTCCTCGTTATCATGCAGCCCAGTATGCTAGCCTATAACCTGAGTCTCACCTCTATTATGATAAGAGCTAATTGGCTAGCTCAGCCCTGATTCCTGATACAAGTGTGTCCAGTTAATAAACCAATAATCTGAATGTCACAGTGCTCTCTGGTTCTCGTGAAAGAAAGTCTCAGGTATTTAACCTCCACAAAATCTCATCCATTGATGCTTCAGAAATGCAGTGGTGTTTGCTGAAGCTTTTAGATTGGGTACGGAATAAAGAGATATTGCCATTTACTAAATAATGTTCAGTATTAAAATTGCAGGTACTTAAAAAAATAAAAATCATAGTGTAGTTCTTACAGTATGTGTAATCTTTTCATGTTTGTACACACAACTTGACAACAATTTCATAAGGATTTGTCTTTAAACTACAATATACAGTACAATATTGTATAAAAAGTACAATATATAGTACTGTAATATTTAAAGATTGATGAAGTACACACAAATAAAGATCAGAAGAATTTTGGAACGCAAAGAGAATGAATTATTTCTGCTGAAGAAAAATAATTCAGTAAGTGCCTAAAGCGGTCTACCATTGCAAAACTGCATTTCAATTCAGACTTTCTAAACTCGAGCGACACACGTTTTAGAGTTTCTCTTTTTACTGTGGTGAGGGTATCATGTAATAACTTGTAGAAAAGTTAGTGAGTGCAGATTTTCCAAATGGAAGAGTTAATGTGGAAAGGTTAGGATAAAGCATTAAAAGGAACTTATCACACTATTTATGCATGTATGTTTATTAGAAAATAAAGTATGGAGCTTGATGTTCTTGTTAAAATATTTTTGAAGTCATTTTGATGAATTGATTATTTATGAAAAACTGTGACTTACTGTACTTAAACATCTTTAACTGTTGTATAAGAAACAAAGAAATAAAACACTAAACCACCACACTAGTAAGAAAATTATTACCTCTTCAGTGGAATGGCCACCTACTGTACCTGTGCCTGCCCAGTTTCAAAGGTTCAGTAACTACATACTTGCACTTATTTGGCACTCTATAAAAAGAAATGTTGGCCTACCAGACTGAATGATGCAGTATTGGGTACTCGACACTTGTAAATAGGTACCCATGGTGATTGTAGAGACACACTGATGGATGGGATTAATTACATGCATCAGCTGTTTTGAGATTTCATTGTCCTTTGCTCAGAAATAAAGTAGGCCGTCCCTCCAGCTGAACAATGTTTCTGGCGAGACTGCGAAAAGCCTTGTTATCTACCCCTTGCA